AAGAGAGTAACAAATACTTGAACATTGCAAACACTGACAAAGCTCCAGATCCGAATGGGATTCCACTAATTGTTCTCATAAATTGTGTCGCAGAACTTTCTCTTTTTCTGTTCTCACCTAAGTTACCTCACTTCAGCCTTCCCCTCTCCATGGGAACACACCAACTTTCATCTAATATAATTACAAAGAAAATTGATAAGTCCAATACTTTTAATTATCCCCCACATCTCCTCATTTCAGATATATCAAAATTTGTTAAGGTTAAGTAAGGTGAGATTAGAGTACGTTAGGTTTGTTCCCGATAGATTATACTAAGTTTGGTTAACTTTAGCGTGGTGAGGTAATCAACAGGTGTTCTAGCAAAGATTCTTGAAACAGTAATCAATGGTCATTCTCAAACACCTTGAAATCATCAGTTTATTCAGCGACCAGAGATATGGCTTCCGTGGTGGGCATCTTATTGCTGATTTTCTATTCCTTTTCTCGCATTTAATCCACCAATCAATAAATTGTAATAGCGAGTCCACTACAGAAACTCTTGACGCAACCAATGCATTTCAAAGTTTAACATTGATCCTTACATATAAAGCTTTTCTCACTTCTTTTGTTTCTTGTGTTTCTTCTTCACTACTTGCTTTGATTACAGAGTTAGTGTAGTTCTGGATGTTTATATACTTAGAAAGGGAAAACGGGAGATAAATGGAAAACGATAGAGAGAGAGAGAGAGAGAGACAGAGAGAGAGAGAGAGAGAGAGAGAGAGAGAGAGAGAGAGAGAGAGAGAGAGAGAGAGAGAGAGAGTACAATGAAAAAGATTGGAGCAGAGATATAAACACTCCATTATATTAAGGGGAATAAAACTTTCAACTAATTCCTTGCATTTACTGATTATGAAATTATGTGTTAATATTTTTGGCACAGGTATAGAGAGGAGCAGCCAGTGTACTTGCTTCCTAATTCACGGTAACCCTCGATTTTTACCTGTATAGATTTTATGCCAATTTACCCAGGTAGCCATAAACCTCGTCGAGGACATGTTCCCACCGACCCCGGGGCATTGTCTTTATTGCCACGACCTAGTACCTGCGAGTCGTTAGGTGTAGTCCCAGGGATACGTGTGGGAAAATTTCAGGTATACAGTTCGGAATTTTTCTTGAGTACCTGTAGGAAATTTCCGTGTATACCTGAGGGGTGTTTCAAGGTTTATCTGTAGGTAGTTTTCATCACTAAAATCCCCCTCTCACCACAAAAATTCCCCCTCTAGCCACTAAAAATCCCCTTCTCACCACTAAAATTCCCTCTCACCCCTAAATTCCCTCTCTCACCACTAAAAATCCCCCTCTCACCACTAAAAATCCCCCTCTCACCACTAAAAATCTCTCACCACTAAAATCACCACCCCTCTCACCACTAAAAATCCCCTGCTCACCACTAAAATCCCCCTCTCACCACTAAAATTCCCCCTCTCGCTACTAAAAATCACCCTCTCACCACTAAAAATACCCCTCTCACCACTAAAATTCCCCCTCTCACCAATAAAAATCCCCTTCACCTTAATTCATTTTCATGTGTACTCTGGGGTCGAGATGATATATGAAACAGTTGATTCTAATACAAGGTTCCCCATTTTCTATATCATCAAGACATGACAATTTATATATGTGTCGTATATCTAAAACTGTGTTGGCGCTGGTGTGTTTGTGAGTATTTCAACATGTCTAAGAGCGATCCCTTCCATTATATTACCACATTCAATGCGTTGTTTCTTCTCGTCTATGGTAAAGTCCTTGACATTTACTTGCGTCCCTCGGGTCGTGACCTCTCTATCGATCTCCTCCATTGTCCCTGAGGGCAGAGGTCGGCCAGCGGTGAATCCTTCCTCATAACAGATTCTTAGTGACTCGTATCTAAATTTGGTTGTATCTTAGAAATACGACATAATTTAAATTCAGTAAAAATTGCATTACCAATCATTCGGCAAAGGTGAGCAAATTTCAATTCGAGACTATTTTATCTGTCAGTTGTATAATACATACATGGATCTGTTATAATACTTCTATGTAAAAGATGCAAGTTTACTGAAAGGCAGGACATCCTGAGTTACTTGAGGGCCACCCAAACTAGAGGTGACCATGTCCAGGGAAGAAGACCAGTGGTTTGTATAGGATCCCTCCAATGTTCTTGATAGTCTTGTCCACGGCTGTTCTCGCTTCCACTGGTTGGACCTGGTATACGTTTTCCACCCTATCGTGTCAGAAGAATTATAAGTCCCGTAAGGCCCTCAGTCTACTTGGATGATCACGATAATATAGTTGAGGATTCACCTAAGATGCTCTGTGTTTTCTAAGGGTATTATGTCTCTATTGAAAGGGTATCTAATCGTCCAGATGGAAACCTATGAGATGCTGAAAAGTTGATGGAGCATTTGAAGGTACAGTACGACGTATAATTCCTAAGTTTATACATATATATTTTCCCTACTGTTCCCACTTGTTGCCGCTGCTTTCAGTGATTGGTCTGTCATCATTCACAACTTTTTGAGCGTTTTAATTTTCAATAGTATCTAAGAAAGTTTTACAATTAAAAATATTAACAGAATTTGTCAGTCCTGCCACCATTTGACCAATGGTAATTTAAGCTTACAATTTTAAGCATACACATAGACCACACTTAGATGAGAGGACTAAAAGTTACGAAGTTTACTCATACTATCCAGTTACCCCTTTAAAAAGTTTTCTCTAAGTCATTTTTAGCGTAAACTATAATCGGTATATATTTCGTGATAAGGTCATTTTATCATCTTCACTCTTAATCAGTGTAAAGTAATGCGACTCATTCTGAGGATCGTGGAAAGAGTTCCAGGTATTATCATATCTTAGATAAGCCTGAGGACTGATTCTCATCCCATTTTTTATGTCACGTGACTATAATTTTAATCACTCGTTGACTCTTTAAGCGTTTTGTGTTGAGATCGATGTGTTATTATTATTATTATTAGTATTATTATTATTATTATTATTATTTATTATTTATTATTATTATTATTATTATTATTATTATTATTATTATCATTATTATTATTATTATTATTATTATTATTATTATTATTATTATTATTATTATTATTATTATTATTACAAGCCATTTCGCAGGGTTTCTTTTTTAACGACCTTCATTGTACAGTGTTGTACAGGAGCAAACCGGAGTACCCTTAAAATAATCTGCCATTATGGTAGGGTCAAATATACTATTCTGTTAAAACTAAAATATTCTAAAATATTGTTTATTTGAACAATATGTACTGTATGGGGTAAAAGGGAAAATTGTCACCAATACTGTACTTAAAATCAGATATCAACTCAAAAACAACAAATAGCGTTGGACAGCATGAGAATTATAAGCCTACTGTAAACCTATACAATTATGCATTAAAAAAACATAAAAACAAATAACGGTTCGTTTGTTGTACACGGTCACGCACTTCGAACGACACCTCAAGGCGCAATGGGAAAGAGGGAAGCTGTACAAAACCCTTTAAGCAAAACAATTGATCACTACTGTGTACAAATATCAACTTCCTAGCTCATAAAGTACAGTAAAAAGAAATAAAGATGAAAACTGACAAATGGATCACTAATATATCCTTGGGGCACACACTTCATGTAGCATCCAGAGACGAAAGGGGGGAGGGGGAGGGACGGACAATGCACAATAATAATACAAATTTAAGTGTTATTGTGTGTAAAAGATTAACAACACTAAGTTCGCAGTACAACACTACACACAGTCACTACCAACCAAATTTTATGTTTCTACGTTCTTTTCGATGTATATGACGTAAGAACCAAAGTTTGAAATTCATGTTGGGTCCTGTTAGTTTTATCTTTGTTTGAATCAACACTTTGTGAAACATCTTGTTGGTGATTTTATCTTCATGGTTGGTAATGCTCCAGCTCATGTGGCTTTGGGCTATCTAGAGTTCCTAACCAAGAAGAAATTGACATTCTGCACAGGCCTTACAAGTTTCCCGAACTTTAATCCGACAGGATACATTTGGGACAAATTTTACAAACGTGTCTCTGGAAGTAAAAACCCTCCAGAAACACTCTGTGAACTGACAAATACTGTTATGGAGAGTGGAGGACCTTCCTAGGACAGCAGATTCAGACTTTCACTGGGATCGTGTCAAGCAGGGGCGGGAAGTGTATTAACGCAGTGTGTAAAATAATGATGCTTTTATTGTAAAATTTGGGATAGATAATTAGAGATTCATTGTGTTGATAAGAGTCATGTTATTTTAATATTCCAAAACATATTTTACTTCTCTTTACACATGAAACCAAAAATGTAAAAGTATGTGTTGCATTTTCATGATTTCTTTACATTAATAAATATTATGAAAATGGCATTTGTTCCTTTAATTATTTTGAACTTAGTATATTTAAGACTCAAATTATAGTTAAAAATATACCCCAAATAGAATGAGGAATACCCGGTAAGTCAATTTGCTATAATCACTCGTCGGATGGTATCAAATCAAATAGCAATATTTCATTCCCACTTTAAATAACTTCATATTTCTAATAAACTTCGACTTTCTGGCGGAACATGGAAATGTAGGAAGCATTTAATGTTACCCATGTCCTTGCTAAGTCATACTTATGGTTTCTGATCAATAACTTTAGAATGGTTTGAGAACTTTGCAACGTCATTGTTTCATTAGTATCAAAGACGAGTTCAGTAATTCACGTTTTCCTTACGAGTTTGTCACGGTTGTGGTCCCTCTCCCACATGTCGCATTACAACGTTATTCCTTGGCAGGGTTTGCATCACCTTCAGTAAGTGTCTCATCACAGTGGGGGTGTCCTAGTTTGGTTCAGCTGTTAAATATATACTGTACATTATAGCCATTTTCTGTTACCACTTCTTTTTAATTATTTCCTTCCTTATCAACATTACGTAGTTGTTGTGAAATCTACATGCATATAATAAAATGCCATAATCACATTCAAATTTATATAATATGTGAAGCACATAGTCCAGTGAAGCATCGACCAAGGTCTTAGTCAGGACGATTTGTTGTCCCAGTGTCTCAAAAAGAAACTAGTCAGCGTTCACCACACCTCAGTCTAGGGTGGATGTGTGTCCCAGGTGCCAGGGGTGAAGGAGGGGCACCTCAGCCGATGATGGGTCGGAGGGTCCCCCTGATGACTGTGCTACAGGTTGGGCAAGTGTCAAGGGGCCTGGCGCAGGTGGCACACAGGTGAAGGTGGGAGCATGGCTGGAACACCACAGCTACGCGCCTCAGCTTACACACCCGACAAACCAAGCGACTCTCCTCATCCTCTACACGTTTTCTCAGTTCCACCACTGTCAGGGAGATAAATTAAAACTTACCCACACGACACACCAAGTAAATATCCTCTTCCTCCACCTCCTCCTAATCCTAATCCTCCTCGTCCTCCTCCTCCTCCTCCTCCTTCACTCACTATTTCAGCTCCGTCACAGGGATAAATATAGGCGGGGTATATAAGAGACAAGTATCACTAATATATAATAAGGAAGAAAGAAATGGAGAATATTGACCTAGCCTCATCATGACCGCCTTTAGTGTAGTGGCCATCAGGTATATTAGGTAGGATAATAAAATCCACTCTTATCAGCTCAGAAACTTAGGATATACAAGAACAATATATGTCCATGAAGACTTTGCCTTATAAAAAATAGTTTTTGTCATGTCAGTTGTGCAGAAGGTATACTGTATATGTGATCTATAGAAATTATCTTTTTGATGCCTCATTCTAATGTCTTATAATAATATATTTAAGAACTGCTTATTAAATTTCGTTGCCTGTACTTAAGTCATAGTGTCTTTTGTTTAAATGAACAAAACGTTTATATATGTAAAGACATTGACGGCCATGAGAAGAATGTGCTAAGTAAATAAACAAAATATGCATAAAATGGCTTGTTCTTATGTTAAGGAACTTGTGAACAGATGAAGCTTCACTAACCTTCCTGCAACAAGACTTGGTAGCGGGCGACGTCGGGGGCCGCCTCTTGTGGCAACTGCCTGGACGAGTTCTCTACCACTGACGACGAAACCTATTAACATGTATTTCCAGTTAAATCTATATATTTCCTTTGATTGGAACTCATACTGAAGAATTTTGCAAATTAACCTTAAGAGAACGAAACGACAACACTCAAACTCTTTATCAACGCGACCAACTCACTTGCGTGAGTTCTCTATCCTCCACCAGTCCACCGTCAGACACGAGGCCCCTCCGTCGTTGAGTCTCCTCAAAATCGAACACCAGCTGTAGGGCTTCCGACACCGTCCCACACAGAGTTCCCCTCGCCTGCAGGAGCTGTCGCAGGGCTCCTGTCACCGATTTCGCTGACAGTCCCATACTCACCAGGCGCTGCAAGATAAAGGCCATATCAAGAATACTTTGTTTAAATAAATTTCGTTTAAGACTATGTAATACATGCGGCGTACATAATAATCCACATTTATTACACACTTTATGCTTCACTGTACTGTTTAACTAAAAAAAAACTAATGCACATTCCCGTGCAATTTTTATATTATAGCAACTGTACAGGTGTTCATGTAACACTCAAATGATTACATAAGAACATAAGAAAATAAGGAGTCTGCAATAGGCCGGTTGGCCTGTGCATGGCAGCTCCTGTCGAGAGTTACTACCACTCTCTATCATCCATGAATCTATCTCGCCTCCTTTTGAAACTTTCCAGAGTTCCAGCACTTACTACAAAGTTGCTAAGCTTGTTCCACTCGTCCACCACCCTATTTGTGAACCAGTTTCTTCCTATCTCCCTCCTAAACCTAAACTTATCCAACTTGAATCCGTTGCTCCGAGTCCTATCCTGCTCGGATATTATAAGAACTTTATCTATATCCCCTTTATTGATTCCTTTCACCCACTTAAATACTTCTATTATATTCTGATTTATCATGATTTGGATGGCTTTAAATAACAAGGTCGATATTGAATAATAGAGTATTATTACACTATAGTTTATTTTATTATTAGCTGGTAAAAATATTGTCAGAGATATAAGTCTCATAACTCATTAGTTTATATGACTAATATTAAATTCTTTATTACACAGAAAAAAAAAGAATACCTTCAGTATAGTGTCCACCGGCTGTTGACAAGACAGAGGATGACGTCACACACAACTATTGCTAGTGAGGATTATACGAGGATTGTTTACCTCAGTGAAACGATCTGATAGCCCCTTGATGCCTGGCCTGTGTTGGTGTTGGTGTGCGGATTAGTGGATGTCATGATTATGACCTGACCTCATGTTTAATAAGGTCACCATGTGTACTTAAGCCTCTCTCCGTCCATGTAATTCAGTTGCCCCTGAAGATGTCTTGAATAAAGACGAAAGCTAAGGTGCTCCATTGTTTCCCTTTTCCCTGTGTGATTTTATCAAGATTTATCTTATCCACGTTTTCATTGTGGATCTACATGATATATATATATATATATATATATATATATATATATATATATATATATATATATATAAGCAATACCTTAGCAAGAGGGTGGGCCAGGAGCAGTTTGGCCTCTTCGTCACTTAGTCCAATAGGTCTGATCAACGCCGGCGGAGGAATATTATCATCCCATGGCCTGGAAGCGGTCTCCTCCCCCTTTTTTATCCTGATGTAGGGGCAACTGGGGTAGTAACGGGCGTGGTCTGCGATAGGGTCGTCTCCTTGGCGCCAGCTGAAGAGTCCCCCACCACAGTGGAAACACTGGACCCAGTCGGAGATCCCCGAGTAGAAGAGCCCGGCCGCCACCAGGGCGTCGATGGTGACGGTAGCAGACTCTTCATTTGGCCAGCGTTTAAAAGTCTGCCTCCGGGCGGCGTCAGTGTTGAACTGAGGATAAGCCAGGAGTCCAGCGTCTCCCTGCTGGGCGTCGTCTGACCAAATAAAACAAACTATAAAATGGTTTTAACGTCCTGTTAGTGTTACCTATAGACGATAATCTTTTTTCTCAACTAATTTTATTGCTTTTCTTGACCAACTCTATAGTTCGTATATATATAATATATGTGTACTTACATACACAAGAAAAAACTTGCTATTTTAAAGGTTCATTCTTCGAAGGTATAATGAAACTATAAGGTCGTACAGGGGAAGTTAGTGATAAAATAACTAATAATCGTAATAGGAAAATACAGGAATTAATAAAAATGTTGTATAACGGCTATCGGACAAATGTGCCTGTGGACACTTACACTACAGCAACCAATAACTCACCCCTCTCATAGGCAGCAGCTTTGGGTGCCCTCACGATGGGCCGTGTGCTGGTAACCCTGAAGGCGTGGTACTCATCCAACAAGCGGTACACCCGGCCAGTATCATCTGCCGGATGCGAGAGAGGAACATTGCCGGTAGCGACCCCAGTGATAAAGGGGCAGTTGGGAAAATGCTTTCGGTGTTCGATGTCTGGTTGGTCCCCCGGGTCCCAGTACCCCACGATCCCCTTGCAGAAGATGCACTGGACATGGTCGCGAGTCTGCAGGTAGAAGAAGCCATTCCTGGCCAGCTGATCTGGGTCCACATAGGCGACCGTCCAGTTGGCGAATGTTTGCCGCCTTACCGACTCCAACAGGAACGCCGAATGACAGTGGAAGCGACGCTCACGACGCAGCTCGGCTGAGGGGGGAACATAAATAGTGTTAGGAGAGCAAACTTTATAGTAAGAGTAATTCAAGTAGTAATAATTATATGATGGTAATGTCGATATTTTTTTAGATTAATTATAATAAATGTCGGGTAATAAAAATGATACAAATAGTGATTATGATAGAACTAATGATAATTTGATAGGATTCCTGGAACCTTGAGTGCCCACTAGAGTCAGGTCTCAAGTGAGGCATAACAGCAAGTCATGCCTCAACGTTTACAATGAAAATATTTTCATAAGGCTCTTGTTTTTGTTATAACTATCATGTAGGCTTTTTAGGTCCGATTCTGAGGTCAGATTTGATGCTTGTTGAAATTTTCGTTGGGAATTTTTCGAGGACTGTTGTTTCATCATGAGACCTAAAACGTCGTCTGGAGAAGGAAGCTTTGTAAAATACATGACAATGACACGAGTAACTCACGCAGCCGCTTCTGTGTAGGCCAGGAAGTGGCGTCCATCCTGACGTCGTTCATCTCGGCTTGGTGCTGATGATGACAGCCTGTAACACGGAGACACATCCTATAAGTCTTCATGTCTCTATTCGCCATTAAATCAATCCCCCCCCCCCTTTCCTCTCTCTATCTTTGATTTTTCCCTCTTTACTTCTTTCTTAAATTCTCTCTCTGTCACCTGCCCATACACACACATTATTGCTTTGTCCCTCTGCTCCCTTCGAGTTGGGGATCGAATAAAAAGAGGTTTTAATGCTGCTTCTTAAGATTATATTCATGTCTTCCAAGAGACTAAAAGTACTCGTTAAAATTCCATAATCAACATTTCGCTGTATCATAAAAATTACTTGTTACTGATCATCTACAACTGATAAAACTGATTTCTACATCATTAAGAAAATTACAATGTGCCAACCACTCTCTCCTGGTGGGACCTTATAGCTACAAATCTGAAACACGTGGTAATGACTCTCTTAAGTCATAGGGAATCTGCCAAGAGGTAAAGGTGAATTGCTAACTAAACTGCAAGAAAACGGCGGCGAGTAAGAATGAGCCCCCAAGAAAATATCAGTAGAGCATTAGCACAGCAACAGAACATCGCATTAATTTTAGGTTATCAAGTTGGTCGTAGAGAAAAATCATATTGATATGCACATTTTGATAATGTACTTTGATAATTATTATTTCAGCGGCAGTGTAGAGATGATTTACAGTAGGATCTTTTAAAAACTCTTCCCGGATAGAATTTTTTGTTGTGACTGTTCTGCCGTGTAAGTGCGTTCTGTAAGCTTCATTTTACTTTTGTTTTTGATAGTGTACAGATCAAGTAGTCACCTCTTTAAGGATAAGGAAGGCCGTGAACAGTTAAGAAAGATGCCCCTGTTTTCTTTGATAAGTTTACTGTATTATATTATTTACAAATATTTTCACATCTGCGAGAAGAATGACTCCCTTGTCTCTGCTCTGCATGATGACTTCGATGGTTTAGATCTGTGTCCTGTTGTGTGTGTGTCGCACTTGGCATCTTAAAGAAACGATCTGTATTCTTGGTTTACGTTATGTTTAGGATTTAACACGTCTTGGGTATCTGTGCTTGGTAGTTGTCAGCCCCTAGAACCTTTACTCTCTCTGAATATTCGAGATGTCTTACTTCAGGAATAAATTTAGTTGTATTTTCGTTGCATGTTTCCATTCCTTCAGAAATACGAGATATAATTCCTCGAGTTTCTTTGATTTTCTTCACCTTTTCTCCCACAAGTAAAATGCCAATATCTTGATCATGGGGAAATAAAATATTGATCCTAATTGCGTGGATGACATCATAGCATATACATACGAAAATGATAATAATAATAATAATAATAATAATAATAATAATAATAATAATGATAATAATAATAATAATAATAATAATAATAATAACAATAACAAAAACAATAACAATAATAATAATAACAATAACAATAATAATAATAATAATAATAATAAGGAAAACGAATTAAAAAATAGACAAAACCCAGAAACAAGTTATGGCCACAAAACTAGTCAAATATATTCCTTAAATGGTGAAGTTAACTATAGTTCCTCATGTTATACTTGGTGGTGTAGAGGGGCGTGATGCTCAGTGGGAGATGTTTCATTAAGTAAGCAGTGTGTGTGTGTGCGTCGTTGGCTGGTCTTATCGGCCCCCAGCTGATAAGAGCCAACATGTATAGACAAACTCAGCTTTATCTGCGTTATCACCCAAGTTCTTATAGTTTAATGGACCTAATTTTGTTTATTGCACTTTTCTTTTTTTCCATTTTATTTTTCTTTTTCCTCCTTGTCTTTCTTTTATTTATTTCTTCCAGCTATTATTCTCTTACCTCCCTCTCCTCCACTTGTTATAATGAGGTTCCTCTCCCTCTCTCGTATTATCACTCTCCCTCTTTTCATTTCCGCTTTTGTCACCTCCGCTTCCTCCTTGTCAATCTTGTGAGAGCGCGGACAAACACACACACACACACACACACACACACACACACTCTCTCTACCTACTTTGCTGTCACTTGGAATCGAGTTTGACGATCATCCAGCTATGATACAATGGTATGTGTTATTAAGGATGTCACCTACGTTGGTGAGTTATGAGGTGACTAAATAGGCCGATATGGGACCGGGTGGGTCGTTCACAGATGTTGCATATGCTGGGGGCTACATCTGGTGTGGGAGGGGTGGCGGCAGCACGTTCCGACGTTGGCGCTTGTCTGCCTCATTATGCAGTCGGGCTAACTCGAAAGTATTGACACCTTCTTGTGTGGTGCTCCTCCAAGCGTTACGGTGCAGAGTAATCGTCTCCCAGGTGAGGGGGTCGATTTGGCACTTTTTCAGGTTTGTCTTAAGACTATCCTCATACCTTTTGAGTTACCCGCCAGCGTTACGTTTACTATTCATTAGGTGACTGTAAAGTAGCTGCTTTGACAGTCTACTGTCGTCCATGCGGATAACATGGCCAGTCCAGCGTAGTTGTTCATAGATAATGGTAGCCTCGATACTTCTACAGTTGGTGTCAACAAGAATACTGGCATTTGTTCTCTTGTCTTCGCAGCGAACTCGATGCATGGAACATAGGCTAGGCTGGTGAAAGTTTTCAAGTGCCTTGAGGTGTCTCCTGTATGTGACCCATGTCTCGCTGCCATATAGCAGGGTGGGGAGGACCACTGTTCGATATCCGTGTAACTTTGTAGATAATTTCAGTTCCCTACAGCTGAACACACACACACACACACACAAGCAGTCGAAGAGGGACAATAAAGAGTGAGAAAACATACAGTATAGGAGACTATAATGACAATAAAACTAGAATTTTCTGCACTCACGAGCATAATAATCATATATCACTGTTTATCTTCAGTTAGAAAATAAACATGTACTTCAAAATGCTGAGCGTACAGTACATAGTTTAATTTCTAGGACAGTCATACAGGTGGGGATGATGTTAGTTAATGGATAGTCTCTCTCTCTCTCTCTCTCTCTCTCTCTCTCTCTCTCTCACACCATGGTAATGATACACACAGGTGAGCAGTAAGACATAAGACCTTACCTATAAAAGGGTTTTATCCATATTGTCCTGTGAGGTGGTGGTGAGAGTCGTCAGATATTTCCTCGCATGTTTCTCGTTGAGTGGGTTTTGGTTTCACTTGATTTGTTGTCCGTCTGTTTGATTGGTTAACTGGTAGGCACACTGGCTAACTGCCTAGAAGATTAGTAGTTTGTCTGGGTGCATTCCTTTTGCTTTTTTCTTCAATTACGTCACAAATACCTATTGCTGTAATGATTGTTTACATAGTTGTGAAACTTGTTTGCTTGGCTTTCTCTATGACGTTTTAGGTTTGTTTGGTTGCTTGTTTGACTGGTAGTTCGGTTGAGTTTTTGTTGGCTGATTGTTTAGTTGCTGACAGAGTAACTGGCTCAGCGATCGCAGCTGCCTAAAGGTGGATGGATGGACCGGCTGCGACAGTCCTTGTGAGAACTGCCGCGTGATACTGAGAGTGAGTGATAGTAAAAGTACTCTATATTCTATATCCCCCCGTCCCTCCCTCCTTCCCTCCCTCCCTCCTTATCATCACCACCTTCCACCTCACCCTCCCTATTACCTACCACCTAACCCCCCCCCCCCGAACCTTCCTCGTTACTTACCTTCTCACCACTCTTCCTCCCCTGGGCACCTACCTTCCCCAGCCTTACTCCCCCCTGCCCTCCTCTCCTAGCCCTCCCTCCCACCACCCCCTCTCTCTCTCTCTCTCTCTCTACTCGTTTTATTTCTCTTTCTCACTCTCACATTTTTCCTATCCTTCCGTTTCTTTCTTATTTTTTCTCCAACTTTTATCCCCGAAAGTCTGACTCTTCCTGATACGAAAATATACAACTCGGTCTTCATCGATAATATGAACTATTAATATCATCACATTTACCAACAGACGGGGAGAAAAAGACAGACACAAACATATATAGTTGGACATAGACAGAGTAAGAAACAGATAGAATTAGACGCAGTAGACAGTGAAAGTGATAGTGAGTCCCAAATAGACAGAGATAGACATAGACACAGACAGAAACTATATCAAATGATTCTGTCGTTTCATGAATTTTGGTTCATATCTTCAGGTTTAACAAACGGTGAAGAATTTACCCACAATAATCGAGTTATTTCAGGTTGTTCATCTATTTATCCTCAAAATTTTCCGAAAAAAAACTATCGACCATTTTTTTGTTTTCAGATATTTATAGATCTTCACTCCCCCTTCTATTGATCTGTTGCTACTATTGTCTTCATTACTTCGAAGATCGTACTTTGTATTTCTCTGGAAAGGTCAAATATTGCAATAATGATATACTATACTATGTGTTTTCAGTCTGAATAAAAAAAACGGGAAAGTTACAACTACCTGAGTCTATTTACACATTTCTCACACTACACTTCAAATAACCACCAACGTACAGTATGTTGACTCACGTATACATTGACAAGAAACGTCGACGGTATGTCATGTGACCAGATATAACGAGTGAAGTTTGACTTTTACAGTACATGCTACCACTCGGCAAGATACTGATGTACTGTAATTACTAACTCTAATTCATTTGTACAGAAACAATCGTAGGTAGGATATTCCCCGCTTAATGTAGAGTAAAAGGGAAAGAAAGAGTACACACACACACACACACACACACACACACACACACACACATGCGCACACACATGCGCGCACACTCGTTAGAAATATGTCGACAACTCCACCATTGGGATGAGTGTGAACAACTCGGCTCCCAACTGCAGCAGCCTTGCTGATGTGTATACAAAAGAAGCAATACCTCTACTAAAGCAGAGATTTATTTTATCACCATTTACGAATAAGCAAGGTTACACTTGTACATAATATTTCAACATGCCAAAAGGCAGCATAAAACACTACAGTATTAGCAAGTTCATTCTCTTTGTAAGCTAACTAATAACATTGTTCTCCGTGGAATATAAGACGATGACGTTTCATTGTCTTATCTCTATGTAGGTTTGCACATATTCAAGCGTCGTACCATCATCAAAGATGTGCTTTTCACATATGGTCTAATATTGCACACCTCTCCACTGAGATTTTGTGAGTCTTTTCCTTGTAGGAAATGAATAATAACCGTCCAGGATAAGGTACAACATCGACGCCACTTTGGTCACAATCTACGTTTACAAACTACAGAGAGTTGGTGTCACTGAGGAGAAATATATCGTCCTGTGTTGTGCATGAATATATGATTAGTCTAATATTTACACCACGCACACACACACACACACACACACACACACACACACACACACATACACACACAAGCGCACATATACTGTACATACAATGTGTGTGTGTGAAGAATTGTCACCCTGCCAAACTCTGGGGTGACAATTCTTTAGGTGATCCCTTTTTTTGTTATCTTATGAAACGGAAATGGTGTCAACATAAATTAAGGTATTTGTTAATAAGGTAACAGCACACATTGCGTGAGGTAGATAAGATGAAGTCATAGATATATCCGGCGACCAGGCAATAATTCCCTCAGAATGGAGGCTCAAGGGCGCGTGACATCCCTTAACCCTCGTGACATTATTGTTAATTTTTATTGCTATTTCTTCATCTCACTCGCCATGTTCTGTAGGGATTTCGATCGCATCTCTTATTAGTTAACCGATCAGATGTGTTAGCTCAGACCTCACCTGTTTAGTGCCCCCACCATTCCCTACCCTGCTGGCTTGGACCCTCCGACAATGCAATCTCACTCATTGCCCTATGTGTTCTGTATCAGTCAACGATCTCTCACCTTAGGGCATATTAACCTGTCACATTTATGAGGAAAGTTACTCTTACTGGAATGGTAAAGTCACAGCAAAATAGATAATAAGCTACAAAAAATATTGGTTGAAATCTACACCGTACGGCTTCTATCAACAGTGTTTAATAATTTCTTATGACTTAATAGAATGATATTGATTATCACCAACTAAAGTGTAATGGTGTTCAGTACATCCGCAACATGCAAAGTCATGCTAGTAAAAAATTCTTAACGTTATTTTGAGCACTTACAACACCAACACTATAACAAAGACTTACGTTAATAACAGACTTGGCAAGAAAATGCAGTTTAATAGACGAGCATCACCTCGGGAAATTAATTCATACTGAAGTGGCTAATACATTCATATCTCAGCATGTGCGGAAATGACAGTCCCATCGATTTCAAATTCTCTCATAGTGTTTTAGATCTGATGATATAATTAAGTCTTTCCTTGAGTACCTTAATAGTTAATATCCTGTAGCATCAAATGTATAAGTGAGATTAAAAAATCCTTTGCTGAGTATCGTCAATTACAAAGAAACCAACAAAATCATCACTAAATTACAGAGGGAGAAGTCTTAAAAAGACATTTCCAACAAATTCAGTTAATCTATTTTACCAGGATAAAAAGTCAATGTAATGACCATTATTTTAACCGAACATCCAAGATACCAGACAAGAACTTTATATTTAATAATAATAATAATAATAATAATAATAATAATAATAATAATAATAATAATAATAATAATAATAATAATAATACTAATAATAGTAATAATAATAATAACAACAACAACAACAACAATAATAATAATAATAATGATAATAATAATAATAATAATAATAATAATAATAATAATAATAATAATGATAATAATGATAATGATAATGATAATAATAATAATAATAATAATAATAATAATAATAATAATAATAATAATAATAATAATAATAATAATAATAATGACCTCGCGAAGGATCTGTCATGAAAATGGACTCTTCTTATACTTAACAGAAATCTTCTTCAGTGAAGCCTTAAGTAGGATTTTCATTAATCATATTGCCACTGGAACTTCTGTGAAGGCACCTTACTTATGTCCCATACCATAAGTAGAATATTGTCTAAACTGACTAACCCACCATAAGATACTACTGAAGTTATGCTTTATTCACTAAGGTAGCTTCTTCCAACTGAGAGACAGGATTACCATCACAACATACTCATAAGGCATCTGCAAATACTGATAACCGTTGCTTTAAGGATGGTTACAAGAATGGACACTGAGATGTTATGTTTGAGAATACAAGGATATTCACCTTGGACGCACTGAGAGTGAGGAACTTAAATTATCGGATCACTGTTAGATGAAAGTGAATCTGGCTAATAAAACTGTTGGATTAATACGAAGATCTTGTCCATACCTCGACACTTTGGTGCTCGAAAATGGCTTTTGGTGACTTTTGAAGCAAGAAACATTACGAAAAGTGAGACAATATTTTACAAGAACCTTAATAATTCCTATAGTGTGCAGGTGTCTGCTACCTTCATACACCTTCATAATTTATCTTCTTAATATATATTCCTCAGCGATATTTTGTTGAAATTCTATGTATGCCATTAATCTATGATTCCTGATATTAAGTTCCCAGTAGCGTTGTGATTATAGTTATTGGCTTATTATTTTAAGGTGCCGTAGATATCATCAGTGGTGGAGAATAGTATTATCTTTCTCGGAACAGTGAGTAGATTGTGCCTTGAACGTACAAGTTGACGCCAGGTGTAGACGGTCAGGTGACTGCCAAGCATGTTTTTTTTTTGTTTTTTTTTACGGGAATTAGCCCACCCGGGCACAGGTCAAACGACCCACAACGGAGCCTGGGGGGCGAAAAAAAAAAGAACGGAAAGAAATTGAAAATATAGAAAAAAAGGTTATACTGTATTAATTTACACCACGAAGATGCCGGAAAACCAGCTTTTTAAAGTGAGACAGATTGTAAGAGTATGGAAACACAGAAGAAGGCAGAGCATTCCACAGTTTGGCTGTGTGAGGAAAGAAGGAGGTACTATAACGGGTTATTCTCGTGGGACCGACATCCACAGAGAAATGGTGGGCACCGCGGGCAAGACGTGTGTTACGAACCCACGGCCTTGCCGGCGGTACACAGGAGGCCAAATCCACAGAACATTGCCCGTTAAAGTTGTAATATATCATAATTTTCATTTCTGTGTTCGTCTGTGTCTTTTCCATTTATATTCACTCAATCCTTTATCTTCTGTTTTGTTAATGTTTGTTTGACATTTTGTTTTAATTCTCTCTCGCTCTCTCTCTCTCTCTCTCTCTCTCTCTCTCTCTCTCTCTCTCTCTCTCTCTCTCTCTCTCTCTCTCTCTCTCTCTCTCTCTCTCTCTCTCTCTCTCTCTCTCCCTTCATTACCACTTATCTATCCACCCGCCCTCTCATAAGTCTTCGGTACACAAGGAGACATGGTCGTTACTGCAGTCCACCCCTGGAACCGGAGGCGAGCGCTGTATCCACTCGAGCGCCACACTCCCCTCCCTGTACTTCTCATATATTATTCAGCACCAGCCAGTAGTTGCTTAACACGGACTTACCGACCTGTATCCGTTCATTCATGTCTTGTATGAGGTAACT